AAATGTGAAATACTCTATCCTGCGATTTGCTGCTTGGCATGGCACTGGTATGAGGGGTGTTTTGCGGTGGTGACAGTAGCCAGCTGATAGCGAAAAGCCACAGCTCAGCCGGTGCAAGAATCTGTTTTCACAATTGTGGCCAAAAAGCCGAGGCATTGATGTCCTTAGCGTCAATTGGTGTTAACTGGCATCCCAGAAAAGGAAGGAACTGGGAAAAAAAAAGCCTGTTCCAGCCAATAAAATCAAACAGAAGGAGGTTAAGCAAACAGCCTGTGCTGGTTCTGCAGCCAAGGAGATGGTAAAGGGATCCCGTGCAACACAGCGACTCTGAAACCCTCGCTGGTGGCCACAAGGTCCTGGTCCCACAGCCCCATCCCCCTCTCTTTGCCAGCAGAAATAAACAGGGAAGCAAACAAGCAAAACTCCAGTACAACAGACGTGAATGGGATAAGGGGGAAAGGAAGGGAGTGTGCTTCCCTCCTTTTCAGTTCCCTGTTGTTTCCCTCTTACTGCCTTCCCTGTGTGCACTGCTAACACAACCGCTTGGCTGGCACTGCATGTCCGAGAGCAAGAGGTGTCCATCAGGGAGCTGCCCAAGGGTTTGGGGGTGGGAGAAGATTGCACCCGCTCTGCCCCTCTCACTGCTGCCTGGGGTGGGGGGAAGAGATGTTCCAGAAGGCAAAAGCTCCCAAACACTGGGATAGTGTTAAAAACTCCCAAACGACTTAATGACGCTCTGAAGGGTACGAGCCCCAGCTCCGCAATGGTGACGACTGAGGCTGGGCAGAGGGTCACATGCCTCGGGAGAAGAAGGAAAGATAAAAAAGCCAAAAGCAAGAGAGGGCCAGGAGAGAAGCCAGGGGAATGAGTGTAACACCGTCATGAGATTTGCCTGTTAGTTTTGTCCATGTGCAATTGGCAAGAAATCATGTTTTCTGACATTTTCTCAATTCCTTGCTTTCAAAACTGACCAAACAGTTTGTAATTAGAGGCATGATTAGGCTGGAAAAAGGAGATAAGATATTCACATTGAATTGCTGAATACTCTGCCTGGAAAATCTTTGAGGCTGCGGTGGGCATTTCTTCTGCATTCTCTGGCCATGATCTGTATTTTGTCTGCATTTCCACCGATCTAACAACTCAGATTTGGGACTGTGGGGAGACAGAGAAGTTGGTGTTAAGCCAATAGGAATGAATCAAGAGCTGAAGGGCTTTCTGAATCAGTTTTCTTAGGTCATTTTTATCAGTGCTGGAGTAAAGATCATCTGTAGATTTTATGACTCTCAGCAAGAATACAGTGGAAGTCTCCCAATTAATTTATTCTAAAATATGGAAATAAAGGTTTGCAGCAAAACTATGGGGAGGATTTTCTTGATGTACCAGCTGAAGTTATGTTGCCTGTGTCTGTGATCCCTGAGCTTTGCTCTTGGAATAGCTCACCGTTTGCATAAGACGGTCAAAAGATAGCTAGCACGGGACAAGATGAGGGTCGCTGTGGGAATGAGAGAAGAAAAGAGACATGGAGAGAAAAAAAAGAAATGGACCAAAACCCCCAAGAAAAATATACCACTTATTCCAGAAAAAAAGTACCAGTCTAAAAAAGCACAAGTAACCTTTCCCGTTAGTGTTGACACATTGACACCCACACTCAAGGGGGGAAAATGTGCCAGAATTCCAGCCACAGATCAATGAAAACTAGATGAAAAAGACAGAGTATGCTGTCTCAATAAAGTGAAATGATCCATCCTTCAGGAACTGTGAATATAGAGAAGATCATCAAATCACAGAATGGTTTGGGTTGGAAGGGACCTTAAAGA